CTACATTTCTCTGCCAATCAGCCTCCACGCACTCCCTCTGCCATCCACGCACAAAAAGACCTTGTGTGCGACCTCCACAAAGACCTTTCACGCACTCCCCTCTGCCCTCCACGCACTCCCCTTGCCTTTCATACATTCCCCTCTGGCCTCCACGCACTCCTTACTGCCTGAAAGGCACTCCCCTCTGCCCTTCATGATTGTTCCAGGAGTGTCTACGTGACGTCAGCCGCTGCCTCTCAAACGCGTAGCTTGCTGGTGCAGGTTAGCATATCACTAAACATAGGTACACAAAGAGACAGAAGTAAGTAATCCAAGAAGCGCAGGTGATACATTGCTGCGACCTGAAATCTTAGAGATGCTACCGAGTTACACTCGCTTATATTAGAAGGCGTCCCGATATAAGAATACTGTTTTAATTTAGTTTATGACCCAACCTATTAGATGTCAGTACTCTTTCAGAACCTTTATCTCACGCACGTGACCACCGTTCCATAGGCGCACATTCCACGCAAACGGGCAAACTGCTGACAGACAATAACCTAACACAATTGAGTGGAGAGCACTGTCGCAGGCAAATGATTTCTAATTCGCTCTATTTTAGGTTCTTATCTAGTAAAAACAAAGACTTGCAAAGAAATATGTAAAGACTTGCACTAGTGTATGTGCTAGGCTACGTCTAATAGCTCACTAGCGTGCCAGTGACGTCACGCTTCCTCTATTATTCACTACGCTTGCAACACTAATGTTTCCCAGAAGAAGTGACGAGGCTGCTTCGGCCTAACATTCTTGCAACAACAAGGTGCGCACTCAGCCCAGGTGCAGGGCTTTGCCGCCTCACTCATGTTAGTGCTTAATTAAGAGGATCGTTTGCAACGATCTACAGCGAGCCTGCAGCCATTACGTGGAATCAAGTGAGTTAACTAATGGCCTAGGCGCTTGAAGACCAAAATATGAAGTGTAACATGAAAATAAATTTTTGCAATTTTCAAGTTGCGGAAATATCGGGCTGCGTAATTTAATCTAGAATTTGAAAAAATTGGATTATGGTTCATTTTAAAATTTCGTATGCTACTGGCGCAGGAAATTGAATGGCCTTCAATCGGTTGGTATGCAGATAACGGCCATCTGATCTGCATTCGTTCGCTTCAACTCAAATATGTCAAGAATTCATCGGTTTAGACACACAGAGCAAGATTGGGCCCGATAGGATCGACTGTCATGCCCGTAACTTTACAATAATTTTTAACTATTTATTAGTTGATTACAAAATGAACCAGAACAGGTTCATCGTCGTTTAAACTTTAAACTTAAATAAGTGCATACCTGGTAAAAATACGAAATCGAATTGATCTTCAAACTGCTTCTAAATTTATGAGAATGCAAGCGTCATCGCTGTCAATGTCAACGAGTTTATAAGGAGAAAAATCTCCCCGCTGAAGGTCTGAAGTCATGGCTAAGAGAACAAAGAGGGAGTACGAGGTCATGTATAAGTATGAAAACACCGTTTTAATATGATCTCAAAACTGCTTAACAAAATACAGTAAAATGTGCACTAATGGTAAATCAGCGAAAATACACAATTCAACTGGCAGCAATCGAACAAAAACTGACCCTCTTGCTGAGTAATCTTTTCAAAGAAGGTTAATGTCCTTTCAACAAAAATTATCGAATAACATTGCCAGCTAAAGCCAGCACTCGATGCAACAAACATGCGGCCGCGCGGGTGCCGATAAAGCACAGCGTTGGTGCAGACACATGAAGCCCAAGGCCAAATGATTGTGCAATCCTTAAAAGGAGAAGCGACAGCTACATTCTAGCGATCCTGCATGGAACCTTCCCAGTAGCCCACTCATCTTTGCTGTGTGCATGAGGCATGAAGTTCAACTAAACAAAATATACGGTTATTATAATACGGGTTATTATAATATTTTTTCTTACAATTCAAAAGTTATTGCGCATTATGAATTTATCAGTGCGATTTAAATCGGTCAGTTATTGAAAAACCAATTCGTTAACGAGTTAAACTCCCGTGACACTCATTTCATTTTCATTCCATTTCCCTTAGTATCCCGAAAAATAGAAAATCTCTAACCAAACGGATGATAAAAATCCATTGTCCAGAGTTGGACGCGAGACAAGTGTAATGTCGAGCAGGTGACCTGACCAGCCAACAAGCCCTCCTCTTTGCTCGCCGTCCCTTACATGGCAGAGTAGTGACCTTTGTAGCCCACAAAAACTCCTCCAATCCCTTCTCCCAGCGAGCCTTTCTTTTTGATCTGGCCAGTAATTAACGAACGTTAAAACGGGATGTCTCTTTGTTTAGCGATGAAACACTTCGACCAATTTCAGTGATGGCCGTCAGGCGGACCCAGATACCGTCAAAGTCCATCATAAACGTTAGAATGCATGACAAACTATTTTTGTAAGTAAATAATGGACAATATTTTAAATTTTTGAGAGTGGATCGGCCCCAAGTAGTGCTAAAGAGCCGCGAAAAAGATGCTTGCCGGCCAAAGTATAAACTCACTCAGTACATGGCTTAACTCATTCAACTCGGGCGATTGTTTACATGATTTGCGGCCATATATTGGAACAAATCGCGCCGAGTCATTTCCTCCTTGAATTAGGAATGCGCTAGCAATGACCATTCCTCCCAAGTAAGTTTCCGGTGAATGTAAAACGAATTTCGACACACTAGTCCTCCGATCAATGCAAATTCCCCATTACCTTAAGGACAATTTTTCAGTCGCGGTATACTAACTTTGAGTGAGAATGAATTATCAGATTTCGATAAGGACTTAATAGTTCAATATGATGTTACGATGTAAAAGAAACTGATCGTGAGTCCATGAAGATAACCACGACTCACTCTGTCAACGCACTTTACAAAGTGTATCCATCAAAATGAAATGAAGATATGACGCATTTATGAAGAGCGGCGTAAGTATCAATCTATGTTCATTTGAGGGAACCTTATAGTTCTAGGGCCACGGCAGCGGCAGCAGCAGTTCATCTCAGGGGCTTGGTGCGCGTCGGCTGAGGACCATCAGGTGCTCAACAGTCTCATTATCTCGAATAAGTCTTTGTGCAGCGTAATGATCACTGTAATGACCGTGCTGATAATTGTGTCGTCGTCACGTGACGTCTCCTGTCACCGTCGCTCACAATCTCCCATCATCCCAAACCTGTGAGAACGACGTACCGAAGACTATATACTTGCGACCACCACAGGAGATCAAAGGTCGCTGCAACACACAATGTGGATCTTCTCAGGATCTTGCTACATGTACATGCACCAAATGAATCTTATGATTGATGTTTGATATACGTAGCCAGACATCACCTTGATTTTTTCTCGTCCTAGTATAAATTTTTATCTAATGAAAGTACATTAAACTTTGACATTCATTCAGAAGGTTCACTCATGAAAACACTTTGCTTGAATATGAAACTTAAAGCAAAGGTGGACGTTTCAAGTCCACATTCATGACTTCAAAAGAGACCATTTCGCTATGATATTTGACTGTTGTAAACACCAACCGTAGGTAATGCTATTATTATCTTCCAACTATTATGCTATTATTTTCTTATATCCATTATCTGGCTGCGTCATTTCACGAGTAGGCTCATGATGAAAAATGAATAAGGTTTCATAAACGCATTCACGCTAAGGAGTGCGTTGGCTATTTTAGGGTGGGCATTAACTATTTTAATTTTTAATTATAACCAACAATACATTTACAACCGATAAACTTCATCAAACATAATTGATCATCTTGATAGGTAACACAAACGTGAGTGGTGTTAGACCATAAGGCATGAGAAATTCGACATACATTGCAATGCATGACACTTGACGGGCATGTAGATTTGTACCTCGACTCTTTCGAAGCAAAAGCCCTTCTCTGACACCTGAAAATCTTTTTTAGGGGCAAAACTGCCCCTAATAACACAAGCAGAACTGCCGAAGTCACAAGAACAGATGACCGGTGAAAGCCCTCACAAATTTCCGAGTTATCAATGACGTTATGAAAACATGCTAAGAGGTACCTACACGCGACAGAAAAAACTTGGAAGGACCGACAATAGACATTGAAAGTTGGCACGCGTTTTCGGATAATAGTTATCAACATTGAACAGTCAGAACTGAATGTTGTTCGTCAGTGACGAACTGGCGTTATCGTCACATGTGCATGGGTGACGATGAGATTGAGACCGTCGTTCGGTCACGCAACGCATTCAGAATTTACGCACTTGTACAATGATAGCGCTTTCTAATATTTAACAACTAAGTTTAAATACTAGTAATTAAATTTATTATACAATAACAATTATTAGCATAATCAACGCATATATGTACTTTTGGTTGTCCAGAAACATTCTTTCATATCAAGGCCGAAAATAAGGGTAAATTGTTATCATAGATGCAATATTCTAAATTATTTTCTTATTTACAAGTTTACGTTGTTGAAGTTTACAATTAACTGGACTTTACTTTTATAGGATCGGTAGCTATAGCAGCCGCTGAATATTTTCACATTAGTCTATCATCGCGGTGAAGTTCTTGCAACATATCATCGAAATATCGTCTTTGCTGTACATGTGTAAGCAGTCAAAGCAGAGATCACGGCTCGCAGTCAACTGAATCTATTCAGAGGTTTGTCATATCTGAAACCAAGTACTGCAAGTAGGCTTACTCTACCAAGCAAGTTCTGTCAAGTGATCTAAAAGACTAAACTAAGCGTCCGATCAATCACTAACGAAGTTTAGGCTAGCAGCATAGCAGAATGCAGATCATAATATTACCGCAAAAAATAAACAAAAACTGTAATTGATAAGTTCCGTGACGACTAAAAAAATTTTGCCTGAACGGTTTGCGTTTTATTAGTTTCTATCCAGCAACATGTACGTATCTGAGCAATAAAACTCACTTGAGGTTGAGGCCTGAGGGAAACTAAGATTATTTGAAACTTGAAAGCGCGCTCGATGACAAAACTTACCTTCAGCCACGTTTCCACCGATGACAAAAACTCATTCACTGACTAAAGCACTAAGGAATTTTCCTGAAACACAAACGAAAAAATTAATCATCTCACTACAGCACACCACTTTCACTGCCAAGCTTTGCAACATCCTAATGTAATAATTTGTTTCACTCGCAACGACTTCTATGTTATGTACAGAGTTAGCACTCAAAGTTGTAAATTTATGCTTGCATTACACAGGAAATTTGGCCACAACGTCTTCAGGAGTTAATCATATCAGCTCTAAGCTACGTGCAACATCAGCCTGAAGCACTGTAGTCCACTCAAAAGGTCACCACACAGTTCCTTTATGCGAGCGACAAGCGCGACACACAAACCCTCTGACACCTGAACCTCTTCTGACGGCGCTGGAGACTGGAAGCTGGAAACGGTGTAGCGTAAACACTCCTCTACCTCCGTCTTCGCGTCACCACCTGCACTTCGCTCGATTCTGGGCAAGAGCCGCGCTGTTGTAAAGCAATTTCTTAACTGTAATTTTCTATAGTCTGTTCAAACGAATTTGAAACCTCAGACAAACATAAATGTACACAATACAAGCTGGTGAGCCCGGCGGTGCGCGGGATCGATTATTCCAGTAATTAAAATATCCCGTTTTCCCGAATGTCTTTAAAACTGTTTAAGTTACTCAATGACGATTCAAGAGAAGCTCGTTCGAACCCAGTGGCTCGTTCGGATATCATATGATACTTGTGTAAAAATATTAACATGCAATTTTATGTCTTCTGAGTTAAATTGTTATAAACTAATAAATTTTATATATATTTTTTTTTTTGTCCAAGCCTTCCCTCCCATTTCGACAATGTCTTACTATTCATTCACTTAGATCGGTCCAGCGAATAATTAAAGCACGATAATTATAGTGGATGTCATGCTTCAAATGCACAATCCTTGTTTTTGGATTGTGCTCGAATACATCTATTTTAAATGAACCACAATCAATGGGCAATTTATGACTGCTTCTTTACTTAACCTTAGGTTGTGCTGCTATGCAGCATCTCTGATGAACCCTATTTGTGCTGCACGGGCTACAGGGTTATATATATTAGACGTGTTGCTGATGAACTCGGCTAGTCTGGAGACGAGGCTCGCGGAACTCTGGCTGCGTCTGAAGTTGTGTGCCGCGGGCGCTGCTGCGATAAATTGCCTCGATAAGAAGCCCTGGAGCGGATACCCCTAAATCCCCGTACGTATGCCGGCATTCATGGCAAAAAAATAGAAAAATAATCTTGTAACTGTATGAGGTTCCTGAATAACGGGCAGCATACTTGAGGCATTGAGATAATAATGTTGTATGTTCTTCCTCAGTTAATGCAGCAAATCAAAATATCTGCTAATATTACACTTTTCTCATTTCTTGAAAAGACTCTAGCGCCTAAATTTTGTGGCGGAGTTGTCAGATAATCAAAATTATTATTCAACAAGTTTCAGGTCGGTGACAGTGTCAATGTGCACTCGGAAATTTCAACGCGCATCAAATACAGATCCTTGTCTGAGACGTAATATTTTCGGAAAAAAACACTGTAATTCCGAAACATATAAAGCTCGAGACTAAAGCGCAAGGAATTGTAAGTTTTGGTACACAAGACTTAATTACATTATCTTCTAAAAATCACTTCGAATTAAGTCGCAGCAAAAATTACTGGAACGCTGCGATGAAATGGTGTTCAAGATCTTGCAGCTGCGAACTCTGTCAGTGTTGTTGATTCTTTTAATCAGCTTTCATTGTAATTTATCAAATGAAATATACTGATGGATACAACGACCATTTTCATGTTCGGAAATAGCTTGGCGATCAAAAAATTAGATCCGTATTACGGTTTTAGTGATGAAAGCACTGTGAATTTTGAATTTAAATCTGACGTTTTCCCAAAACAGAAAAACCGAAATGAGATAATGGAGTTCTAACATCAATCCTTAACAGCACAAAAAATAGAAATGGAGTTTTAACGAACGTTGTAAATAATTTTTTAGCACAATCTAATGTTATGTATCACCATGTTTCAAAGGATCATCAATTTACAATCCTTACTTCCTAAAAGTTTCGGCAGGGCCAAGGAGCCTTTAGAAAAGGCTCCGAGCTCAACTAAGTATGATGGCGTCTCATATCAGTGTCACTTATTTTCTGAGTAAAACCTGGGGGATTTTCGAATAATAGTTTCATAAATGACGTCGACCATTAGATGCTGAGTCAACATATTTTAAAGTATAGGTCATGAGAGACTCGGTGGGAGAAAGTGTCGATTTTCTTGTCACGATTCTAATCGATGACTGCAATTCCGGAGACATCTTAACCAAACTCTTGCGATTTCTGACGATGACGTTGCCGATTTTGGGGTTTATCAACTTCATCAAAGCTTTGTAGCTATCTCTGTGATGATATTAAAATCATACAAGTTCCTGGAATTATCAAATAAGAAGATGCATACTTGTATATATAACCTATTCAAAATTGGTCTAAAGAAAGACAACACAAACGTTGCATTTCGTTTTTACATACTTTCAAAGTTATGTACATACTGTTAAAGTTGCGCACAATTCGGTCACAAAAAAATACGTTCTCTTTTTCCCATTCATTAAGCACAATAATTCACTGGACGTAGATATGGATGAGCAGTTTCGTAATGCGGTCCACTCAGAATCATTTAGAAGTGATCACAATCAGATTAGTGGTTAATGTCCGCTAATTACTCTTAGCACATAAATAGTTACCCATAAGAGCCCTTTATCCAAGTTCTAAACTTAAATTTAAGGAAAATTCACAGTCCTGCTTATATACTTGGAAACCAAAACATAAAGTTATATACATATATATAGGAACTGATTTAGCGTTGGTTGATTCAGGTCTAATGATAAGCGAATGAAAATGATGCTCAAGTCAGTCAAGTGAATGAAAATTGGGGCTACGACGCGTAGAATTTCTGTCCTGCATGCCAGTGAGGCAGGCTCCGAGCGAGCGACCCGTCCGCGAGCCCGGACCCGGAGTGAATGCCCTCCGTGATGCGTGGGTGGGCGCAGGGTGGACTGCCGCCTCAGTCTGACTAAGGTATACGTGGACTGTCATCTCAGCTCTGTCTTGGTTATATGTGGACTGCCATCTCAGCTCTGTCTTGGTTATATGTGGACTGCCATCTCAGCTCTGTCTTGGTTATATGTGGACTGCCACTTGCGCTCTGTCTTGGTTATATGTGGACTGCCATCTCAGCTCTGTCTTAGTTGTATGTGGACTGTCATCTCAGTACTGCATCCCGTGTGCGTGTACCGACGGTGCCACGCGGCAGTGTGTAAGAAGGATTGTGGACTGCCACCTCAACCCAGAGTAAGAAACAAGTCTATGGACTACCTCCTCAGCTTTGTGTTTCGTATGGGTAGACTATCCCTCAGCCGTGTGAATATAAACAGCTACCTCATCCCTGAGTGAGGTACATATGTAAGAGTGAGGTCCACTTCAGTCGTGCGCTTTGTAAATGCAGATGGAATTTATCTTAGGAATGAGTGAAAAATATATACCTCAAAGCTCTGTCGGAGGTACATGTATGTACGTGGACTGTTACCTAATCCTTATGTGTGGACTGAAATTCTGGGAAAATTTCCTCCCCTCTATGTACTCAAGTTCACTACCACTATGAGGACTCAGTGCTAACAGCTAGATGGCAGATAAGCTCTGGTGTAGAGATTTGCAACAAGACTAAGATTATTACACCGCATGACTCGTTCGATCAGCATTTAGCTTCAAACATCGCGGGGCACGGAGGTAGAGTTGCTCAAGCCCTCAAGTCACATCGGAAACTGAGTTTTGCAAGTCAGCCACGAAGCCATTAAACTCATGCATGACTGAGCCTAAAGTCGACCATTCACTGGCGCTCGCTTCATCATCCTTGAGCAGAGTGTGCTTGCCAGCAGCAGACAAGGCATCACAAACATGGCTTCACAGACATCATGTTTGGATCCTCATCTTAAGTTAGCTCGGTTCAAGGCTAGCACGAGACAAAGTTCGCAATATGGCTTGAGGCTGAGTGGAAAATTAGCTTTTCAAGATTGTCGAGACGAGCCACCATTACCAAAGGGGATAATTAGAACGGGGATTCAAATACAGAATTTACAAATTTGAGACAATTTTTTAAACTTGAATTTTCAAGAGCACGTTTTGTGTTTTGCAAACTGTGCGCGTTGAACGAGCGCATTCTGCTGATCAAAACGAAAACGTAAGTAAGGCACATGAAGAATTTAATTTTACTCAATATTAGATCAACTATTGTTTATTATACAATAATACTCAAGGAAAATGTACCTGACAAGTACATAAATTGTTCCTCAAATTAAAATGAATAATACAAAAATGAAACTGGTCGCTAGGGATTCGACAGAGCAGGATAGGAGCAAAGGAGTTCTTCGAAAACCAGGCAACCGGCGATACGAAGTGTCGTTATCAGAACCCGTTCCTCCGGACCAAATATACCGAGAACAGCCCATGCTCTGCCGCGTCCTCGGCTCTTCGACCCACCAGCTAATTCTGGAAAACTTGCTATAAAATGGACGCATTCAAGCATAGATAATATCAAATTGTGTTAACGAGCTACGCTCACACAATATGAGCTAAGCTTAATCAGCAATATATAAAGACTTTTAATTTATTATGAATTTGTACATATTAAGAAATTGCGATCCGAATGTATTTAAATGGACAATGGCAGGCAAATTAGAAGTCAAGTCTTATCGAAGCACCAGCTTCTTTAAGGTTCACCAACAAACGGAACACTCGAACAATGTTCTGAGGCTGAACATCGTTACTTGTTTTTAATTAAAATTACTTGTGATGCTTTTATCAAAATCTTGAGGCTGGGAGACAATCTCAACTGAAATACAAAGTAGGCTTTAGTATCTGCCAAGCCTTTTGAACTAGAACTCGGTTTGGTCTAGTTATTCCTTTCAGTATTCGGATGAAAAGGGCCAGAAGTAGTCAGCAAATAATAACTGATTCATGATTTCATTATATGTAATGAACGAATAATTTTAACACCCGTGAGTTTACTGTGGCACTCATTTGAAAAGATGCAGTGTTTCCAGCTGATGTTGGTACATCTTATTTTATTCGAAGTCGTCGTTG